TCTCTCTCTCTCTCTCTCTCTCTCCTCCTCTCTCTCTCTCTCTCCCTCTTTCTCTCACCCCCTTCTCTTTTCTGCTTTGTATTGCCAAGCGCCGAGAGAAGCGGGTAAACAAGATATTGCTTTGTGTTCTCTTCGTCTCTCACTTCCACTTCCACACGTTTTGTCATCGACTACTCTCGCGTCTTTCTCTTTATCGTCTTATCTCGCGCACGCCGCATCCTTCCCTGCCAAAGTGTGACGAAGGGAAATTATTCACTTCTCTCTCGGATGATCAGCGGATTCGTCCGATGCATTCGTACAATCTTTTCTTATTCTAATTACCTACTTGATGTACGTAAAGTTATGCAAGGCGTCCCGAACATCGCAGATGTCCTTTTAATGACGAATTTTTTGATTTGACGTAGACCCTTCTTTAGCGTGAATATTGAAGAGACTATTATCGCGTCTTTTGAATTTTCAATATCATGTATCTTTGCAACTAACAATAAGCTTCAATTGGAGTTCTGTCGAAGCGAAGACCACTTGAAGTTTCTTGAAGAATGTAGCTCTGCATTTATTTGTCCTGTGAGGCTTCTAATTCGCGAATTCGTCCTCTTTTGTCAATTGTTCATCGCACAAAAGTTATCGGCGCAACATCTTTGCCAACTCGAAACTCGTCAAAGAACCCAAAATTGTGAAAAAGACATCTGCGAGTTTTGGAACATTCTCTATATTTAATTGCGTTCTTGTCATATTTAACATTATCTCGCGACATATAAATCGGAGTAAGACAAAGAAAAAAATAACGGGGGTGAAGTATAAATATAAGACTGACGAAAAAGAGGGTGATGGAGAAGATGGGGGAAGACAGTCGCGTATATACTTAACGATACTTTATTGTTTTTATCATTACACATTATTATAAATCTATCATTTTGACACATACAATACTTACTAAGATCTACAGACGATTTTTAACGATAGGATGCATAGGCCTATAACTAAACACGTATCTTGACTTCGCTGCTTACTCTTAGCGGAGGAACAGAGTGAAGTGCCGCAGTGTCTCGTAACAATTGAAAAATATATGTGATTAGTAAAATATACCGTAAATATGTATCACCGTTGAAATTCGCTAAACGTTTGCTCGTTACGAGACTTTTCACACTTCGAGTACACTCACCGTCGCAATGTAGAAATAGGCTTGTTTGTCCCTGCATTAAAATTATGCGGATTCGATAGACTTTAATTTTGCTGCGAAATATAAATCGTACAAATCACATGCTAGCTTTAATTTTTAAAACTATTTTATCATTGATTAAAATAATGCTGCTTTGTGTGTAAACATCGAATTAGTGTACTAATCGATCTTACACTCTTCGATAGTTATGCAAAGCGTAGGATTGTTGCAAATTTAAATTCAACGTTTAATTCAACGTTCCTCCCACAATTTTTTTTTTTTCTATCTTGTTGCCAAATTTAATTTTGATCTGCAATTCGAATTTTTCGAAACTTTCGAGATAAACGCGCTTTCGATTGATTCGATATTTTTCGTCAACGTCACGTTTTCCACAATGCACAATTCCCGTTTTTGAAAATTAAATTTGTCTTTCATCGTTTTATAGCGCACAATGAAAGATGCAAGACGGGTTAAAAGCGTCATTAAGGGATACTCTCTTTCAAAGCGGCGGTCACTTCACCGCGCGAGACGGAAAGTGCGTGTCTTAAACGGTAAAACGCCATATAGATATTCACAATTACGTACGGATTCGCGCTACGTATTCGCTGTATGTACACCAAACGTCTACTTGACCGCTTACGGCTAAAATGGGGAGAACGCGGGCGACTTCGCATTAAATCCACCGACGAGAAAGGTGCTCCCCACTATAACAGAGTGCTGCGCATATATTTGTTCGGGACGCGTATTTACAATGCCGATATTAATCGACCATGTAGAAAGCGGCCTAAGTTCGCCTAACCGTCAGATCTGGGCGAACGAAAGTGAAATCAGGGGGAACGCGGGCAACTTATTCGCACAAACGAGCTCGCGATAGCTCGTCCGACAAGTGGAAGTACATTATTGTTCAATTCATCTGTTTGCTGATTGGAGACTCACGGTACGTGTGTTCATAGTAAATCACGCTCGGCAAAATAATTGACCGAACAAAATAAATCGAAAGGAGAAGGTGGACTTTCTTAGCAAATATCACCATCGTCGAAAAAATTCTAGTTTGTTGTAGATGCAAACTTCTCTTAAGAGAACAGATTGAAGTATGTATAATTTTATATTAGCCACGAATTAATATGATTTTATTATATCACGCTGTGCACGTTTTATATAAACAAAGCGATTTATAAAACGATTTATAATACGAAAAAGACGAGAAGTCTGTTTTCCAAATTTGTATCGCTTTGTGTTTTAAATGCATCTACTTCCACTAGTCATTTTAAAGAAGCGGCGCGGGACGCGTTAAATGAAAACACTATGCTATTGCACTACGCCTTTTTACAAAGATGCGCATACATATTACACGCTATTATCCTCGATATACATCTTCATTAAATCGATTCATACGTCTGTCTATAGTTTCTGCGATGTGTCTCGGTTACTCGATAAGAAACGACCGTCTGTGGAATTTCATTCCAAGATTGATTTGATTGCGATACGAGTCTCTTTTTTTTCTTACTGAAAAAAAATTAGGATTGTAGGTGACACAGATTACGCCTGAATTTCACGCATTTTTATCTTATCTTCTGCGATCACGCTGAGTGCTTTGTTGTGAAAATGTACGGCTGATACATGTGAAGCGAGTATCTCTCTCTCTCTCTCTCCCTCATTGAGTTTTCAGAGTTCTCACGTGAAAGTTTCACAAAACGCAATGTCGAATATGATAATCCCATTACAAATCCTGTCCAAATGAACATTAAAAACATTGAACATTCGCGGTACAAACGGAAAAAATGATATTTTTATAAAAAATCAGAGAGGCGGCAAAAATTTTGCTTTCACGTTTAGTTCGCAATCATTTCTTTCAAATATTTATGCGTTCACATATCGAGTTTCAGTAATATTAACATATTCGTATAATTTGAAACAAAAATATGGTTTTGTTGACATGTTTGAGTCAGTAAATCATAAATCTTATAGTTCTAATTAATTGATAATCAATTTGAACAGACGACAATGCTGAAACAAATAAACGATGTGATGAATGCAATAACTTGGACTGATTCAACATTACTTAAATTTATTTAAACATATAATTGGATTAAGTAATCATTTTTAACACTTTTTTTTTGCATAAGTTATTGAAACAAAATTTTTGTACAAATAAATTATTAAAAAAAAAATAAATTCCGAATTGTGAGTCGATATATCGTATTTATTTGCAATATTAAAATATTCATTTGGACACCGATGGGAAAGTATCTGCTAAATGACATCAATTACCATTATTTCCGGAGCGAATCGTCCGTCGCGGAGCGATTACTTCGAATTCCTCTCGAGTCATTCTTAAGGATCTTCCCAAGGTGGACATTCCGGTAGTGTCGTGCCTGTCATCGGCGACACGCGGTTCACCAATGTGATCTCGATACATTCATTTGTAGTTCAGCATTCACTTTAAAGTCCGATCACTTTTCGCCGCGAGAAAGAAATTCTCTTGGCGTGACGACAGCAGTGGAACAATTTCATGATAATCGTTACGATAACGGTGAAACAGTTTTGCAACAGTTATTAAGATGACACGTGTTTGACGCGCGTTTACACTTGGTTACGCTATCTGGCTGGCCCCCCGAAAATGATTAGTGTCCACGCGAAGATCGCAAAGGGCCGCTACCGAACCGGTCTCGGTGCTTCGTTTCTCGAACAGCCGTTCCTTCGATCACCTCCTTTCGCTGACCCGAAGAGAAAAGTCGTCTTGGTCTCTAGACGAGCGGCGAGAAGGCGGAAGCTTGGCTTCGGATCTCCCTGTGCTCCGACGGGCTGAGATCCAGCAGCGCGCCGCAATTCGGCTCGCTGCCCGCTTGCTTGCCGATGAGCGCGTCGATGCTGAAGTTGCGCTTCTTCTCGATGCCGGTCGCGTGACTGGCCGGCAACGCCGTCACCCGGACGGCGGCTGGGGTCGTGGGGTCAATCTGCCGGATCGGCGGTGCGGTGATGGGCACCGGTTTGTAGAGCGGCGGCGGCGGCTCCAGAAAACCACCGAGCTTCAGCGCCTCGAGAGTCGACGGCGAGAAGTCGAGCAGCGGCAGACCGGGCGGCGGAGACAGATACGCCGCGCCGGGATAAGCGAGCGCGCCTGGATGACCGCCGCCGCCGCCGCCCGGACACGGGCCTCGGTCGCCGCCGCAGATGGCGAAGGTCGCCATAATCGCGCGATCCCGCAGCACGTAGTGCGGCGGCGGCCTCTTGTACCGTTTCCGGCGCCGCAGAAAGCTACCGTTGTCGAACATGTCCTCCGCGAGCGGATCCAGGGTCCAGTAGTTGCCCTTGCCGGGGTTGCCGGGCTCGCGCGGGATCTTGATGAAGCAGTCGTTCAGCGACAGATTGTGCCTGATGGAGTTCTGCCAGGCGGGGAACTTATCGTGATAGTAGGGAAAGCGGGACATGATGAACTCGCATATGCCGCTCAGCGTGAGCTTTTTCTGCGGCGACTGCAGAATCGCCATGGTGATGAGCGCGATGTACGAGTACGGAGGCTTTATCAAGGACGACGACATCTTGTCGGAACCGTAGCCGGACGACGCCTGGCCGGAACCGGAGCCGGACTTCCCCGACTGACCGCCGCCGCCGCCGTTGGACGTCGACATCATCGAGTACGTTTTCTTGGAGGAACGTCCGCTGCCGCCGCCGCCGCCGCCGCTTCGACTCCTGCCGGCCGGTGTTGGCGCCGGCGTCGTCGCCGTCGGTACCGGCGAGCAGCTCGCTATCACCGGGCTCGACGACGTCTGCGACGGCGGCGACAGGTCGTTCTTGTCGAGACTCACCGGGTCTACGATCATGCTGCTGCTGTCCGAGTCCCGGTCGCTGTCCGCGCAGCCGTCGCACGACAGGTTCGACATCATCATCGCACGTGGCTCCATCGTGATGGACGCCGCATGAGCGTGAAGACCTGTTCCCGTGTAAGGCGCCGGTTTATTTCGCCGTCGGTCCCGGGACCGACTCCTCGAGACCGTCGCTCGCTCTCATTCTCCGTCGAAAGTCCAAACTTCTTGCCAAAATCGTTCCGCGAAGCACGAATATTTTTTTTATATTTCCTGAATGGAACTTTTAATCGTCAACAAGCTCGATCAACTAATCGCTCACTCGAGTTCTTCGTCAAAATTTCTCCAAATTTCTAAATTTTCTCTTAAAGTTGTTCTTCAAAAGTTTTATAAGATACAAATGTATTCAATGTTTCTTTCATAAAATCACGAAACTTTGGTCATCGGCAAATTTGATGGATTCTTTCTGATGACTCGCTTCTTCGTTGAAAGCGTAAATTTTTTCTTAAAACTTTCTTAAAATTGTTCCTCAGAAAATCTCATAAGATATCAATGTTCTCTCTATATTTCTAGAATAGTCACCAAGTTTTAATTATCAACAAACTTGACGGAGATTCTTCAAGATGATGATTCACTCTTGTTCTTCGTAAAAATACTGTTGAGTCGAAATTCTCTTTTTTAATTGTTTTTAAAACAAAATTTTTTAACAGAACAAAATTTATTTTTTATCGAATAATAGAAATGTTTAAATATTTTATTTATTAACAAATTTTCTATTAAGAAAAGTTTGGCTTCTAAAAAATTGCGTATCCCAAGTCCCAGATTAATTATACCAAGTCTCAAGTTGTTCGATGCAAAATGTTTCACTTATAAAACAATAGGCATATAAATTATATTAAATCTCGTGCAACATGATGCCGTGAGAACTCTTGATCACCAAAATGTAATAAAAATCACGAACGTTATTTGTCCACGTAAGATCTTCGATACGAACAGTCGTCGTCCAACAACTTTTCCCGTCGAAGATTTCGGCCATCAAATATAAGTTTCAGTCTCTTCAGTCTCGGTTAATTGTTTGAAGATTTCTCTCTGCAATCTTGTTACGAGTGAATATTCACTCGTAATGTGCTTCCCTTTATAACGCACCTTTTCAAACTTTTTCAAAGTTGCCGTCGGGAAAACGCGCGAGCGACTACCGTCGCGGTGTATCTCGGTGTAGCGACTGCCACACGTCACTCTATCCTCCGCTTGACGTGTGCTATCTTACGCTAATAGTTTGTTTCCACAACGATAACGAGATTTTTTCCTCCACGTCGCCCTGCCTGCTTCGTCTCGCTTCTTCCACCCGACTCGCGGCTGCGACGCGCGCGTCAGACGCCCGACGAGGCGCCGTCAAGGATGTGTTTCGACGGGAACACGCTCCATCGCGCGCTAGCGTCCAGGCCGGACCGACTCAATGAACCCGCGGATCTTCTTTCACCACTCGCTCACTCGCCGCAAAACAATCTCGCTCGAGATCGATCGAGCTTTCCTCTTCATCGGGAAACTCGCTGGTGTCGATTCTGACAACTGAATTGTCAAATCGGGGATTACAGTAAAAATTCGCGCGCGGATACCTTTCGCGACATCCTCGTCGTAAGCTCCGCTGACGCGCTTTTTTTTTCAATCTTCTTTTTTTCAAAGCGGAACGGGTGTCGAACGAGTGTCACGAGCTCGCGAGCGACGAAGGGTGCGCGATCGCGAGCGTAGAATCGTCTACGGGGTGAGATCGAGGCTGAAATTGATTCGAAGCGGCCGCTCCGGTCCTACGTGGGCGGACCAATGGGCGGGCGTTTCGATCCCCACGCCGTCTCGCACCCTGTTACACGAAGCCACCCTCTCCTACTCCCGGTGTGTTTCCACCCTGCAGCCGAGGGCCGCCGGAGCAGTGGCGCGACACGGGGAACGGCGGGAGAGAAAGCCCCGGAGGGGGTTAGGACGGGAGTTAGGAAAATAGCGGGATAGTTAAAGGGACTTTCGCGAGGCGGAAGAGGGTGAGGACGGGAGGGCGAAATTGTAACACTCCGAAGGCTGTATTTGCTTTGAGCGGCGCGATGAAGATGGAACGCGGGCCGCCGATCTGCGAGCGGTCGCCGACAACGCGACCTATCAAGCGGTTGCTCTCTCGTTCGCCAATTTTGTGAGTACGTCTCCTCTTTTTTTTTTTTTTTTTTTGCGTTTAATGCAAACGGCGCGTCAAAACTGCGGACGCGGGAATTGGTTTAATTTGATATCCGAAAATTGTAGGAGCGTGCTTTTCGTATATTAAGATATTCAAACGCATGATTCTCACGTATCTTATCATTGCCTGTGTGCACATTTTATAAAAATTGTTATTATCATCTATTATCAGAAAGTGGCTTAAAATAATAGTGATACTGATCTCGCTTGAATCTGTATAAACGCTTAATTATCGGTCATATAAAAACTATTTAAGATTATATCTTTTTAACGAAAATTTTAGCTTGAAAAAAGCTTCAAAGCAAGCAATATCAGACATTTTTCAAATTGGCTGTCTTCGCTGTAATATTATTCACTCGATTTATTTCACATAGCTTAATTTACATAAAATACTTTCAAATCTTTAATCGGTCATCAGAGCAAAGTGTCTGTACAAAAAATATCCTGACGCTTTTTACAGAAAATCTTTAATCCAGATTGATCTAAAAGTTTCTAAATTCGCATGTCGTTCTCAGCGTCTTAAACGCTGCATTTTTGCGGGAGCACATTTTTGTTGACTGACAATTTGAAGAAAGTAACTTGATACTGTTGGGCGCAAGGGTTAAGGAAATAACTGCGCGCCATTATCGCGTCGCATTTTCATCATGAGAGTGCTGCAACCAACCAACGACTAGATCCGTAGAATCGCCAACAGAGCGAGACGAGCTGCACGCATCACAAGTTAACTTCCCTGAGGCAGCTCAAATAGAATCTGTATTACGCCAGAGCGGTACACAGAGAGAGAGAGACGGATAGATAGTTGGATAGGTGAAATGAGACGGAGGAGGAGAGAGTGAGAGAGGGACATGTGAGGAGTGAGGAGCGCGCGCGAGAAACACGCGGATGTACACTAGGCGTCATAAACGTAACATCTAGCAAATGAGCATTTCTTGTCGCGACTAAACATACCGATACATACAATGGCACATAATTTGCGGTAAAGATATTCCATTCCATTATTGATAAATCGCTATCAATAATTACTCGCTTCTGTTCACTAAGTTCAATACCTAATCGAGTTTTACGTCGACCAATTTCGCGTATAAATATTTCACATCGCCAAAAAGTGTTTTCTCGACACTGGCAAAATTTTATTCATTCCCCGGAAATATTTTACGGATCATTAACGAGACGAGGAGATTAGTTTTGAGAGTACGCAACTGACGCTTGAATATTTCTTAATTACTTCTCGACAACAATATTGACATTTCAAGTATTCTGAACTGTTTCCGGGTAATATTTTTCGAAAACGCAACTGGTTGAACTAGTTGAGGCATTCACGGCGCCTAGTGTACAAGCGTGAGGGAGAGAGAGAGAGAGAGAATGAGAGACGCGTCGGGGAGCGGGCGGGGGGGGGGGGCGTGGGGCGGGGGGAGGGGGTCGGCGTGGCGGAGGAGGACGGGAGGGGAGGACGGGGGAACCGGCGGAGTAGTAGTAGGACG